CAGGATTTTTTTTGGATTTTTTTTTTTGCAAGAGGACCTAGTGTGCATCTTCTAACATGTTGTCACAATCTGGTTGGGGTGTCACCTGTCACGTGGTGCCAAGAGCAGTGCACCCAATCAGCAGTGTCAGCAAGAGAAGAGCCAATTAGAAAGTATGAATATCCTTTCTGAGAGTTTTGCCTTCATTTGATCAACCTTCCTCTCCCCCCAACCAAGTCGAGCATTGCTCCTTGCGATCTGTCATTCAACACCTCGTACCCCGGTACCAGGTGCACAGGTTGTAACATGTGTGCACGCAGCCACTTCATGAAACTAATCGTGATTTCCAGCCTAATTCATTCGCCCCTCCTAACCCAGTCTTTCGCCTATTCACTATATCTTGCCTGCAAGCCATCTAACACCCTCCTGGTATCCTAGCCTTGTGACTACTGAGCACATGAATACCCTGACTGGTCGGCTTTTAATCTCGTGCGCCCGAAGTCGATCCCAGATGACCTGCGCCGACGTGACTGTTCGATGATACATTAGGTTAGCAACAGCATAAAACGGCAGTTATTTCAACAGACGCTGGGGAGTTATCACGTACTTGCACCAGGGTGGTTGATTTTATTGCCTAGCACCAAGAACGGCACCCCCTCGAGCCCCTCGACAGCTGAAAGGGCGTGAAGTTCTGCTGCGGCTTCGTCGAATCGCTCAGCATCCTGGGCGACGACCATGAAGATGACAGCCGAGACCCCACAGATGCTCTTTGTCCATAGCTCACGGTTTTGGGGATGACCGCCAACGTCGAGAGCGGTGAATGAAACGTTGCCCTTGATCAGCGTCTCTAAGCCGGGGTGCGATGTGGCCGCAGCAAAGCCTGGCAGATTGTTTGCACAATTTTGGAGCAGGCTTGATTTCCCGGCGTTGTCGAGCCCGACAAAGACGAGCTTCGCTGGCTTGGGCCGGTAGAGTCCGAGATATGAGAGGGAGTAGTAGAACCAGTCAGATATCCCCATTGTGCGAGATGAAATTAGAAGCGGGGTGGAAATGTTTGTATTGGCCGATCTTATGCATCAGTCAAGTGGTTATGGTCGCTATGAGAGATGTGGGAGGTCATTTTCTGCGGATACGCGTAAACATTTTGAGGGTCTAAATGCCTAGAGGGTGTGGCTGGAAAAGTTTGGATCAAGGTTTGCATTCTCGGCATACAGCGGGCATTCGTCTAATTTTATCCCCGTGCTTGCCCCTGGGTTTAACTTTCCGACGATTCAATACGGAACAACCAGCACAAAAAATCTAAAACTTCAAACGCCGAAGTTAGCTCTAGTAGTTTTAGTGCAGCTGGCCCATGTGGGCTCTGTGCGGCGAGGGGCGTCGCACGAGACATAAGAGAGGTCGCCGAGTTCTTATATCGGTCGGCCTCAACGAACCGAACACGTCAGGAGGTGGCGGAGAAGAGGATGGGTAGGGGGGGGGAGGCTCCTCTACCCCGGCAGCCGTTGTGTCTGGAGAGAGCAAACATCAGTTAAGGCTCCCGTAGGGACAGTGCAAAGATGTTTGAGCGCTACATGTAGATATACCGGCGACTACCTCGTGTATGACGAGCCGAAGCTCGTCACGGGGGTCGGGGGGCGGAAAAGAGTAAAACGCCGCAAGGGCGGAGGCGCCAGCGACCAACGACAATACCCAAAAAAAAAATTTCTTCGAATCATATTGCTACTCATAATCAGCATCCAAGTGCACAACCTGTCACTGGGCGACCTCTCCAACCGGAGTGACCGTGGAGGGTGAAGGGCACTTACACAGACCTGATGTTGTTGATGCTGAAGAGAATCAATCATGGGACGGGGCTCAAATTATCGAACTCAACACCATCACTCAACTCAGCGCACTTGCATTATCTCTCCGCGTTCCGTGACTGCTTCCCGGCATCTAAGAAGGGAAATAGCTGCTGAGATGCTGCTTAGTTTCCTGGATCGAGGAAAGCCCAAGCCGTCATCGTAAGATCGTGCACTACAAACGTAGCAGCAACGCCCACAGAGCCCGGCAGTTCCCGAGTCGGAAAGGTGGTTCTTGAAACATGGGTTTAGTAAGGCAGGGACTCTCGTGCTGCTGAAGCGCAGGCACTAGGCCGGCAAGATTCAACGGGGACTCGACTTCTGCGACATTGCATTGCACCAATTGAATGTTCACAGCTCACTCGCCCTGATGAGGAACTCGATTCCCTGCTAGTAGACTAGAGTCTCCTAGGCATGACATTGAAACACAGGTACTGCACCCGGGCTCTCGAGTCGTGAATGTGGTTAGTGAAAAGAACCGAGCAACGAGAACGACCACAGCCGCTTGATGTAAGGTGCGAACCAAGCATGCATTCATTTCAACAGTTTTCATAGGGGATGAGGGCAACCGTGACCACCTTCTCTAATCTGGTGGGTTTTAGTCAGCTGTCAGGAAGGGACGTACTGTGGCCTGGAACGTCCCTTTCAGCTTCAACTTTCTCAGCACCGCCAATTTCCACTGCCTGGCAGCTACCGTACACCCAAGGTTGACCATAGCTATGCTGTGTAGAAGAGCTTGTCCACTTGGAACGGGAGGCAGGGCATGGTGCGCAGCAGGCGAGGGAGCAGCCGCCTCGGGGAGACGCGAGTGTGATTGAACACGCCATTCATTCTTAAACAGGAACATAGTTGAGAGATGTGTGACCAGAGCGGGTCCGGCGATTTGAGCGCTACTTGCGGTATAAGGGGTGGTTTAGCTTTATACCCGATACAACGGAGGCGGAGGCGGAGGTGGGGATAACAATACAAGATTGTGAAGGGGAGATGAGAAGGAGGTGCTCTGGCAGTGGGAGAGCGTCGATACAAAGTACAGATTTGTCGTCGAGTTCGTCTTCACCAATGTCTTGACCAAGGCTCTACTCCCGTTGAGGATCATGGCGAGTCTTGGGCTAGGCCATGGTTCGCCAGGGTGCTGGGAAGACACGGAGAGCACTGAAACCTACGAGCTGATACCGGAGACGCGAGAGTTCGCCAGTCAGCAGGACGCGGACGAGGCGCAACCCGTCGGCGAGCTCCACCGCCATCATGAGGACGATGACGGACGACTTGCCCTCACCCATATCGAGCTGCATGGCGTGATTGCCCTTGCCGGGCAGGCACATCATGGCCGGCGCGATGCGCTTCTGAGTCGGGCGGATAAGGGTGTCGTTGTCAGCCTCGAACAGCAGCCGAGGGAAATGTACAAGGTCCCAGGTCTCGTAGCCCACGTTGAGGGGCTCCCCGATCAGCTCCCTGTTGTTATCGGCGGAACGAACGAGAAGCTCGGCCCGCTGCAGGGCCGTCAGGGCAGCGGCGTAGTCGATCAGGTGTCGCCGCCACGCATCCGACAGCCTATGTCGGTCCCTCCTCGAAAGCTACTAGAGTAAAATGATAGGAGTGATGACGGGCAACGCGCCCCGGCTGTGCTGCGTCTCGGGGAGCGAGGGCGGCTGCTACGCCGGGAAAAGTCGTCGATGCTCGCCAGCACGGCCTCGGTTGAGACCATGTTTCGTGATGACGGCGGCTTTGTTGATCTGGCATCGTTTGTCATCCGGGAGTAGTGACAGTTTGTTTGCCTAGGACGGGAAAGCGGCGGGGTAGCCCGACTTGCTGCGTACCCATGTCCCAGACCTCTCGAGACACGATCTGACGGCCTGGATGTCCGTGGCCGCTACGAACCGCATACCTCCCTCGGAGACCCTCGGCGCTTCTTTTGCAGCGGCGTGCGAGTGGTGAGCAGTAGCTAAATGAGAGCTATGTTGGTGTTGGGCGCAAGGGGCAACCCGACGAAGAGTTGTACAACTTGGTATCGCGGGCTTGGGAGCCGACGGTGCTGTTGTACAGAGGTCCATAGCTCAATCTGTAAAAAAAAAAAAAAAAAAAAAAAAACCCAAATCAGCCATTTGCCCTGTGCCCAAATTCCCCAAATTCTAATCAGCCCACCCCACCATAGCGACAGTTAAAAAGTAGTCTCGAACCTACTCCTCGAGATCCCCACCGCTATAGTTTTTAAACAACGTTGATAGATCCCTTAAGTACCTACGGACCGTACTCTCTTTACCGACTTTGTTTTTAGGCCTCCGTACTATGTACGTAAAAGAAGCTTCTAGGCTGGTATATTTGGCAGCAATACGCAAAAAGCTATCTATCGTCGTTAGCTAAGAACTATATTTACCTTCGAGTTATCGGAGTGTCTCGGTCGAATAGGACATCGCTTGTTTCCTCGATCCTAGTAATGCTAAAGTTCCTCACTGGTAAGCGGTGGGGCTTCCGATGTCTTTAGCGCCGTAAGCTACGCTTAGATGGAAGCAATCTAAGCAGGATCTACGCTCTCTATTAGCTCACGGGCCCAGCCAGTATGGGCTCTCGACCCCTATAAGCACTTATCAGTAGCTATAATAGTAGATTGGGGTCGCGATACCTTACAAAGTACCCAAAACAAGGGACAAAACTCGTAGGCTTAGCTCGGCTGAGGTGTTGAGTCCTAGATTAAGTCTATACCGTCTCTGATTAAAGTACACTCTCACGATAAATAACACGTCTCAAACTGTTCTCGGAGAGCGTAGGAGACACGGCGGCATAGCCGACCTAAATATCATTCTTACTTCTCTACTCTGGCTACCCGGAGCCCTGGATCCTGGCACACTTCGCCGAGAACGAGCGCTTTAGCGGTGTACGGGGTCAGTGTACAGCGTGTGTGCAGTAGACTTTGAGGGGTACATATGCCCCGCCAAAAATGTACTTATCGAGGGTGTTTTAGGGTACCGAAATTGGCAGGTCCAACCTGCCAAAAAACGGCACCCCAAACAGCGACACAGACAACTCCTCGTGGAAATTCTGCCTTAGATACCTCCCAAAGACAACCAATGGTGGGAGGCATTGGAAAAGACAGTGCGCGACCCTCAAATTGATAACACGACAATCCATTGAATCCATGACCGAATGCTGCCAGGCAAAATTGCTAAATACGGCAAAAAGATGTGGATGCACCGCGGATCGAACGCGGGACCTTCTGTATGTGAGTGCAGCTGAGGCATTGCAAAACAGAAATCATACCACTAGACCATGCACCCTATTTCAGTGTAAACCCTATGACTTGCATTCATTAATCAGGCTTCTCCCCAACAACATTTTTTTCAGGAAGAAAGCAACCAATCAGCCACGACGAAACACCAACATCCCGACTTTACTCGCCTTCGGACAATTCTTTTGCGACCCCGACCCCCACGCGCAACCCGCGCTCGCTCTCATCATGGCGCCTAAGCAACGCCCACTCTATACGGTCCTCTCTAACTTTATGTTAGAACTAAAAGCCGAACACGACGCGGAGTACTCTACGAAGTAGGCGGTTTTCAAGATGCTCACAGACGCCCTCGACCAAGGCTTCAGCAAGATACCCAGTAAGGAACGCAGGGACGCTAGGAAAGTGAGAGCGCATGTGCTACAGTCCTTCCCAAGCGCCAAGCTCCTATTGGGGTTCGGCGCTAGTGACAATATTCTCAACATGCAATTGGCCACTATTTCGATACAATCGCCATCCACACCACGTATTCCAGCCTAATAGAGTACTGTATTGATCTATTCCATGGTGTTGAGTATGGCAAATTCGAAGGCAAGACTCAAATCAATCCTCAAGCGCGAAGGCCAACGGCGCGCACTGATGCACGCCTATTTTAGCTGCGGGCCAGGAAATCCTGGCCCACAACACCACAGAATCCATCACTGGTTTTGCATCTGTTTTGTCATGCTCACACCATGCCACCTAGATAGCTGTTGCAGGCTAGGAAAATCCTGGCCCACAATACCACTGAATTCATCACCAATTCCATTGCTCTGTCTTGCCCACAATTTATCCCACTCTTGGTGTATCCCTAGCGTAACGTTCTTATTGATGTGGAAGATGTAGAGCTGCGGCTGCGTATCCGGATAGATGCGGGCCACTGCGTTCCTCATGTTCGTCAAAGTTGATAGGTATCAGGGGTGGAGCCTGGATCTGTTGGCGCACGTGGCCGACTTGCTCCATCAGCCAATTGAAGCCTTCTTCGGTTTCGTTGTTGGTAAACCCCCAAGCCATTAAATAGGCCATCCCAAGACTATCGTGGCCTACTACCTGGAACAGGGCAAAGCCTCTTATCGTTGGTCTTGTAGGTGTGATCGAATAGTTGGATCTTAGGATTTAACGCCTATTGCTTCTTGGGCCATTCGGTAGCCCAGAAAATGCCTGTTGACTTGGTCGGATCGTCAGGGCTCCCCCACTTCGTTGTGTCGTGATGTTCTTTTCGTCAAGGAGAACACAGGATAAAGAACACCTCCGCGGAAAACCTTCGCAAGGTGCAGGACGGTTCGGAACACAGGCGACAAAGAACCCACAGAGTACCCTCCCGTTTCCAGATACCCTGGCCGAGATAGAAAAGAGCAGTGGAACTCCTCAACTCAGTTGAGAGGTCCAGGCTTCAATTGATCTCCTTGCAACCACCTTCCACTTGCAGTCCGACCCCCCCTATCCTTGTCACCCTAGCGCCTAACAGCGTTACAAATATAGCCTCCCACGTAGATCCGGTACATAAAGGTTTTTTGATATAATAGAATAGCCTCCTCTCCTTAAGTTATTATAAAAGTCAGCCGACAAGAAATTTTGGCTCTTTACTACTTACTGTTAAGGGTCACAGAACACTCAGAGGGTATAGTATAGAGGAAGAGTAGGTGCGACGTAGGTGTGGTAGTAGAACAGTTAATAAATTACAGCTCATAAATTAATAGTTATCTAACTGATCCGAAGGAGCGGGCACCGGTGAGGAGGGTCATCAGATAACGGAGCAGCAAATTTTTGGAAGACGCCAACCAATGCACCCTGTATTAGTTGTACAACAAATTCATCGACTTTCCAACCCCGGGATCCTGTGTTCCCCGTCCCAATCGAATATGCAAATGCCCAATTGCAGCCTCAACACAGAAACACAATGCTTCGCATGGCTGCGTGCACACCTATGCAACTTGGCCGTAAATCATCAAAACGCCCCCGTCCTCGGACAACCTCATGAAATATGCCCGCAATCTCGTACAGGTGCCGTAGAGAAAATAAAAGAAACGCTGGTGTCATCTCGCGCAATCGTAACTGTTACCCGAATGCTTAAGGGCTCGTAATATCGTGAAAATGAAATCAAAGTGTTGATATCATCAACTCAGGGGCAGTCCGCCGCATTTGGAGTATTCCGTGGCGCCGTCTCCTGGACAAACTCGGCCAGCTTGGCCGGCTTGCCCGTCTCCTCTTCAATTGGCCTTCGGCAAACAGGGCAGGTGTTATGCTGTTTCAACCATGGTGTGACACACTCGCCGTGGAAGAAATGGCTGCATGGCAGAACAGAGGCCTTGTCACCCTTCGTCATCTCGTCGACACAAATCACGCACCTTGTCGTGGTTTCTCCCGCCATCATCTCCTCGTCGAGCTCCCTGACCTCCAATTTCTCAATGGCCGTTTTCGAAGCGGGCGGTGCGCCTCCTGGGTTGCTTTGGTCTCTAAGCTGGCTGATAATGCGATCGAAAGCCTCTTGGGTATACGCAGCATCGCCAAGAACGGCCGCACCGGGGTTGAAGAGGGATGAGAGGAGGGATGCCATGAAGCCCATCGGCGTGAACGTAGCATCTGGCGGCGGGGCCGGGCCGTATTGCTGAGGTTCACCCGAGGGGGGCGGCGCCTGGTTGGTTGTGGCTTCGGTCCCCGCCGGAGGGCTATTTGTATCTACCGGGCGTGGTGACGACGGTGTGAGATGGAAGTTTGGCGTGTAGATATGAAAGCCCATGTAAACCGGCATGGCTGGCCCTCGGGATGCACCTGCACCTGCATCTGCATCGAGCGGAGGGGTGTGGTCGGTTCCAGTTGAGCCAACTGTGGTGAAAAAGGTCATAGCCGGACGAGAGAGCATAAAGATGAACTCTGAGTGTGAATGAGGTGGATTCTGAGACTCGGCACCTGAGTTTGCGGCATCCCCAGGGCTCGTAGCATTGCCATTGGTGTTGCTGGGCTGACCGGTTAATGTGTCTGCGGCAGGCCTCACCTCCGGGTGCTGGCTAGGCACAGGCGTAGCGCTGGCACCCGGCCCGGCTAAGTCCGGGGCAGCGCCGGTCGGCTGCTGATTGTTGTGGAAGTGTCGAGGATCATTCTCGGGAGAAATCTGTACGAGTGTTAGCAACGGGTTTGCTGCATGAGGGCCCGGGGACTCGCGGACGATTTCGGTGGATGCGCTCCTGCACGCAGGACATTCGATGACATCCGATGCCCGCTGCCATTGGTGATGGCACGAGTGGCAGTACATCGAGTCCATGTTGTATGTCGAGCTTGCCTCTTCTCGAAGTGATGAGTAGCCAGCTTCCGAGAGGGCAAAGTGTGGGTGCAATAGTATGTTGGTCTCAGGAATTGACAAGTCGAGCCAGCAGTGGTGGTTTGGTTGCTTGGCCAGCGGACTGAATTTATGTAATGTAAATGGTCAAATGAGGCCAAAGTGATTCCAGATAGAAGATCTATTCGGAAATTACGGGCTGCTATAACGAAGGTGCGCTAAACAAAGAAAAATAGCCTGAACGATAATTATAAATGCAGCTTCTTTCAAGATTTATAAGGGAGGGCGACAAACAAGTGCCATGAGTTGGCCACACTCAATCGACCCGTGACGTCGCCGGGTTTCTGGAAGCTGCCATCCACCCCGGCGACTTCGATTGTTTCGATGTGGGGAGACATCTGGCCAACCAGAATGCTCAACCAGCCACGTCCAACACACCACACCACCCCGGAGGTGGCACCCGCGACACCAGTCTCGATGCGCTCCATGCGGCGTCCACTTTCCACCCCGAAGCCGCACGAAAACCGAACGGAGCTATCAGCCATGGTACACGATGGCACGCAAAAGTCAATTTCTGTGCCTGACAACACACACACAGGATACATCTTGAGCTTTAACCTAAGATAGGGTTAGGGTTCGGTGTGTTCGATGTGTGGGCGAATCAGGCATGACTAAATCCGTCTGGTCAGTGCTACCAACTGGCCTGCCCAGCTTTTATCTCACAGCACTGAACTGATGCCGTACAGTGGCCTATGAAGAACAGGCTTTCGCCAATCGAATCGGACTAATAAGAAGACGAGGGCTGACTTGGTGGGCAGCACATGGTGGCATGGGTGTTCCAGTCCACGCGTTCTTCATCTGGGGCCTCCAAAAACAGGTGACGACTGACCACCCCGCATCGTCGCATTCAATCCGAGCTGCCACCAAATGCCTTCAGCAGCCAATAACAAGCGCGCATTGTCGCAGGGCTATGAGAACTTATAGCTCGCCGCCCCATTCACATCACTGAACCGTTCATCTCGTCAAATTCACATTGACAAACAGCTCAACCCACACCGAACCATTTGGCCTCAAGAGCTCAAATCATCAAGATTCAATCACCGCTTTTGCCTTATCTTGAACAACTTAAGACAAAATCCAATGGCCCCAGCAGACAAACCCAAACCCAACCCCCTCAGTTCCTATGAGTCACCCGACTACACCTCAGGCCACCTCCAAACCGTGCCCATTGCCCACGACCACATCCCACACACCTACCACGACGATGACGTCGCACCGCCCTCCTACGAAGAAGTCTCAACCTCCAGCCCGCGGCACGGAAGCCCCACCAGCAGCACCCCAATCGCCACGCCCGCAACAACTGCCACACCACAACAGCTCTCCCCCGTCGCCTCCCACGCCACCAGCCAGTACAAAAGCCCAGCGCCGATGACGGCGTCGCACACGATGAGCCAGGCCGAGCGCGAGCGGCTAGAGGACGCGGACGGATGCTGCTTCAGCACGCGGGGTGGGTGTTGCTTCAGCGACATGGGCGGGTGCTGCTTCTCGTCGAACGGGGGGTGCTGTTTCAGCGACCGCGGTGGGTGTTGCTTCTCGGACAACGGGGGGTGTTGTTTCTCGGACCACGGCGGGGCTTGCTGTTCGGATGCGAGGCCGGGGCGGCACGGGGGGAGGTGACGAGGGAGGGGTCCGGACGTGGTGGGGGCCTTGGTGGATTGTGAGGCGTCGTCGCTGGC